TGTTTCAGGACCACTGTCATGACGGGTGCGGATTAAAGTCCGTTTGGCATTGTTATCATTAGTATCTAAATCAAGTTGCTTGCTACTGATTTCATTTTTGGCGAAGTTGTAGAGATAAGCGTGTCAGAGGTCTGGGAACGAGTACTTGGCCCAAAAATAGCATTTGGGAGCATTTTGATGATGGTTGCAAATCTAAATCACATTACCGTGTTATGATTACCATTAATACTAATTTTCATGTCATTAATTTCGTTTTCAACATAGTTTTAGAGATGATCAATTTAGGAGACTGAGAACAATAAAGCATGCTAAAAATAGCATTTGGGGGCATTTCACAAACTGGGTCCCGACCCCATCTTATTCAACATATCAAACATATCAGCACAACATATTTTAGTTGTGCAAATTTTCATGCTTTTATCACAATTTGTGCAAGATCGTCGTTTCAGATGCCTTGGCTACTACACTATCTGGTGTATCGTCTCTGGTACATTTCAGACAGGGAATTTACTGTAACAATCTAGCAAACTGGGTAACCGAAATTTTTGAAGTGGATATGACTTCTATGATGGTTGGTCGTCAATTTAAGCCTTGGGCACATTCTCGAAAATTTGTTGTTGTCACGTGATCGATGACGTAATTACTCCCCGGTCATTAAAATATTAATGACAACATTTTCCAAATCTGAGTATACCATTCGAAAGAACATGCAAAACTGAGTCAAAAATTATAGAACACTTATATTGTTTGACTTATTGTTTCAAAATTATAGATGTTTGAACTTTCTATTACGTCATCAAAATGGCCGCCACTGGATTTTGTAAAGAGCAATTTTTCATCGTGTGCGCTCTACTAAAACAATTTTTAGCAACCAAATTGTTTTGTAAACATACAAATTAGGTTTCAGTTTTGCCGAGATAAGCTGCCCTCTAAGTTACCATCCTCTAACATCATAGTTTACGAACTTAAGGCAACCATTAATCCTTTGATTCCCCACTGGACGAAAAGTCTGAAACTTCCCATTCACTTTCGTGTTCATCGATTATTGAAGTGTCCGAGCCATCAATGATTTCTTCTCTTGTCATTTCGCTATCCCCTTCATAATCCATATGTGTACTGGGCAATGCATCTCTTTGGTGGTGTTTTCTCTTCTTTGAAGTGTGTTTTGGCCCTTAATTTCATCATCACTCATCTCCGCATCGCCATGGTTGTCATAGTTGAGATTCTTGGCTGTTTTCTTTCTGCTTGTTGAAAGTGAAGGAGGCAACTGCTTGCCTTTAAACCAGATCGGAACTACAACCTGCTTTTTCTCGTCCCATTTCCAGCCGTGATTTTCAAAGCTAACTGTCTCAATGTTAACTTCACAATAGCGGACCCAGTGGAACACTTTGTAATTTGCTCGTCTGATGGCTTGCTCAACTGAATCTGGATCAGGAGGAATTGACGATGAAGACTTTGATTTCATTTCTTCATATAGTCGGATTCTCGTTTCTACATTTGACTCGCCTACCTTGCCACTGTAAACAACTGTCCTGATGAACTCTTTTACGTTGTCGATTTTTGCAGACTCGAGACTTTGATCCTTACCAAAAGATTCTAGCATCTGGCATTTCGACGGAGAACTTAACAACTTTTTGATGATTTTAACTTTTCCAGCCTTGTAGAAATAGGAAGTGGTGTCACATCCTGATATTGCATGTATTGCTGGAAGTTCTTGACAAAGAACTTTTACCTAAAAATTGGAAATTACTCCTATGTCAGCATATTTATCATGGTCCTCCTTGAAAAGCCACGTTTTACAAACAGAAAGCTTTGAATATGCCCATATGAGAAGGATCAGGACATCGGTATCTTTGGAGACAATAACTACGTCTGCTGCTTCCAATGACGCATGCAAAACCAAGCGGGTATCCGCTTCTTCATGATTACAACGGTAAATCAGCCCACATCCATACTCTCCACTCTGTACGTGTTGTTACCTTCTGTGACGATGAATGGCTGCTTTATCGTACCTCTAGCTTCGTCACTCATCATATGTTCAGGGGCGAAACTACCGGGGGGGTGTGGGGGGGTGTAACACCCCCCCAATCCAAAAAATAGTCGATTTCGCAGGGCAATCGAAGATTTCGCAGGGCGCCAAGAAGAGCTTTATTGCCACGCAGAAATGCCACCTCTGAAGTTCGTAAAGGGCCGTTTAGGAATTTTGAAATGGAAATATCGTATTTGTTATGAACCTCCCTTCCTGACATTGCATTTTAGAGAACGGAACAGGTATGTAAGGAAAAGCTCCGTTATTTGCAAAGCGAAAGCATGTCTTACCGAAAGTCATAGCCAATGGATGCAATGATTGATGCATATGTTAATGAGGGCAAGGTTGAGTCCATGCAAATTAATTTGAGCTGTAAATTATTTTCATGACAAGCACGGCGTCACAGGAGGGGAATAAGAGGCTGAAGGCCCAGGGGAGGGGCAGAGGCAGAGGGGAATTTTATTTCCTGAACAGAAATGTGCAGTTTCTTGTCTCGAGAAGGCCGTGTTTACACATCCAAAATTATAACATTGCAATGATACAGAAAGTGATTTACTGAATTAATGCAAATAAAAGAAAAATAATAAAAATATATGTGAAAAAGTTAGCAATTAGATGAAACAAAATCGGTATCTTAACGATTTATTATGTTTTTTAGTTCATGCACTGTTAAAAAGTAATAGAAAAAATGATAAAAAAATTCTTATCTTGACCAAAGTGACAATAGTATTTTGCTAAATTTTTGTCTGAAAGATGCTTTTTAGCCCTTTTACAAGGTATAATTTCAAAAATTTTCTTCACGTCGGACCCAACCATGGTGGGTCCTCCTTCCTCACTAAACTTGATTCTTAGCCCCACTGGGCTAAATTTCGTTGCGCTGTCTACATCATGTACCTCTCCCCCCCCCCAATTAGCTGTTTATTAGCTAGTATTTTGCAAACCAACATTAAATGAAGTGAATATAAAAAAAAACAATTTACGCTCAAGTAGAGAAATAAATATTTCATGGACAATGAAGTTTCAAGTTTGTTTTTATTGCTTAGAAGTTTGTCCTTGGTAAAGACCAGTGTACACTGGTAAAGCTTTCACTAGTAACCTATAGACAAACCGTTGCTACGAGGTCTGCAGGGCACCACTCAGTTTTGCAGGGCAGAAACCCTTTTCACCCCCCCAAACCTATTGGCCAAGTTACGCCCCTGCATATGTTGTGCAATAAGCTTTATCAAGCTTTCCTTAGTTTCCTGATTCTGCAAAAATTCGTTCCACTTGAATCCTTTTGGCATATGCTGATCAAACCTTCTAATTTGGTTTGCGTACCAGTTTACCCACGACCTCTCCTTGTTCTTGTTTCGTACTCTGCTCTCTGTATGTGTCGTTAATCATCCCAACTAAGCACGGCAACGATTCTTCTGGTGGCTCCATAAACCGATCTGGTTTAAAGGCAAGCAGTTGCCTCCTTCACTTTCAACAAGCAGAAAAAAAACAGCCAAGAATCTCAACTATGACAACCATGGCGATGCGGAGATGAGTGATGATGAAATTAAGGGCCAAAACACACTTCAAAGAAGAGAAAACACCACCAAAGAGATGCATTGCCCAGTACACATATGGATTATGAAGGGGATAGCGAAATGACAAGAGAAGAAATCATTGATGGCTCGGACACTTCAAAAATCGATGAACACGAAAGTGAATGGGAAGTTTCAGACTTTTCGTCCAGTGGGGACTCAATGGATTAATGGTTGCCTTAAGTTCGTAAAAAAATGATGTTAGAGGATGGTAACTTAGAGGGCAGCTTATCTCGGCAAAACTGAAACCTAATTTGTATGTTCACAAAACAATTTGGTTGCTAAAAATTGTTTTAGTAGAGCGCACACGATGAAAAATTGCTCTTTACAAAATCCAGTGGCGGCCATTTTGATGACGTCATAGAAAGTTCAAACATCTATAATTTTGAAACAATAAGTCAAACAATATAAGTGTTCTATAATTTTTGACTCAGTTTTGCATGTTCTTTCGAATGGTATACTCAGATTTGAAAAATGTTGTCATTAATATTTTACTGACCGGGGAGTAATTACGTCATCGATCACGTAACAACAACAAATTTTCGAGAATGTGCCCAAGGCTTAAATTGACGACCAACCATCATAGAAGTCATATCCACTTCAAAAATTTCGGTTACCCAGTTTGCTAGATTGTTACAGGAAATTCCCTGTCTATTTAAAATGGGCGTGTGAGGGGACTTTTGGGCTTATTATATATTTGTTTTTTGTTTCTTTCTAACATCTAATAGCAGTCTTTAGGTCACTTAGAAGCTATGTTTATCAGGGGCTTCCCAAGCCTGGAATCGCAGACATCTAGCGACCCCCTCATAGTGGGTGAAACTTTCGTCACGACATGGATTCGAATCTCATTTCCTAGGATGGGTAGTCGGCGACCCCAACCACTCTCGCGGCTAGAACTTGTTAAATGAAAAGTAGGAAATTTTTGGGTATCAGATACTAGATAATGGCTTTGAAAAAAGCAAACATTTTACAACATATCAAAAGCTTTTTCGTATATATACTCAAATATATACTCAGCTGTGGATTGAAAAAGGCCAATCAGAAAAACGTGGGCACAGTCTTCCGGTATCGTTGTCCAGTCAGTGCCGCATGCCTTTAGGAACATAACCCCTGGAATACAAGAAAAACAACAAACTCCTTATGTCTTTTTCGTTTGCATGTACATCGATTCCAAAACTGCTAGGTGAAAAGACGATCTGGCTTTGGCACATGTCGTCATTGCAGACTTTGGCACAATCTAGGTTATCTAAAGGATGTTGCCCGATAGCAGAATCACTTGTTTTAAATATTTTTTGGTTTTAAAAACTCATAACCAAACCACACTACCCCTTTTTTAATGTACCATTTACCCTGGGTGCCAGAGCCTGGGAGGGTAAATACCATTATGCTCATAAGCCAGGGGGATTCAATCTTGAATACCTTTCGCGGGAAATTCCCGGCCTCATTTACATTCAAATAATTCAAACGTGCTTAACCTAATGGGCTAAGTAACCCGTGAGTGGCAGGCAATTCCACACGTTTCTTGGTAAGAAGATGGCAAGCGTCAAGGTAAGGTTTAAAAATAAATTATTATTTAAAACGCTGAATAATTGCATTAGATATACACTTAAAATAGCTGCTCATGATTATTTCCATAAATTAAAAGAATGCTCTTTCTGTAGGCCTAACATCAAATGCAACGCTTATTTGCAACATCACTTTTTCATGGAGTTTTTTGTTTGATAAATTCAAACACGACATGGTTTCAGGTACAAAAACAGTTTCAATTAGTGTCGGATATTTCCACCGAATTTCCAAGTGTACGAAATGTCAGGGAGTGCAGCCACTATTCTAACAAACATGCTATTTGCATGCATTTTAAGGCCAAATTCGTCTTAACCAATTCTTTTAATTATTCTGTCCAGAGAAAATGGGCTCTTGAATATTCTAGAAAATTTTGCACATTTTATAAAAAGGGAGACCAGCTTATCGATATTGACACCATTAACATATTGTTCCATCGTTTTGCTGCAGAAATTCCCTCTATGCCCCCCCCCCCACGTACGTATATGTCCTGTTACTTCTGTGCAAGGCTTTTGTTAATAAAATCAAGCAGCAAGGATATATATACCAAAGTATTGATAATTTTCAATAACTAGGAAGTGCATGTTTTTGCAATCAGCATTGTTTGAAAAAAGGGAATTCCCAGTTTTACACTTCCCACACTAAACATGACTAGACACGTCTTGCTTCCGCAACGATTGATTGGTTGATGACCTCCAGTCACTTTTTCAAACCTTTGTTTCAGTTCTCAAATTTCCAAGAACTTGAAAGGAAAACCTCCAAATAGGCAGGGTATAGGGTTAAAGAAATACTGTCTTAATCAAAGTCTTAATATTTTTATGAAATTGTATGTTATTTAATTATGTGGTATTTATATTAATAATCTATATTGTTAATATTATGTATTGTTTTACTGCAGATAGGAATCATTGCTGGTACTGGCTTTAATGACCCCAAACTGTTTGATGGTAGGATTGAAAAATCAGTAACGACAGCATATGGAGAGGTATTTGTAGTTTTTTTCATTGATTGGTTTTTGAATTTTTGCATTCAGGCCTGAATCATTGTATGTTTCATGATTATCATTGTTTTGACTTGTAAATAAAATTTTGGAGATTTTTTAATAGTTAGCTTATCGTTCAAGAGAAAGTAAGTAGACCTTCAATTCTTTTTTCTTCCTGCACCTTTGACTTCCTTTACCATTCACTTGGTAGGTTTTCGACCAAAGCAAAACAAAACCCTACAACATGTTCTTCATTTCTCAAAAGTGAATATTCGTGGAAACCTAAACAAAAGCTAAACAATGGCACAATTTCCATTCACATCAATGGCCTCAAAGCTTCTTTGATGAGATACTGGGCTCCCTGTTGTGGTACTTGACAAATTATGAGTTGCTGAATGTGTCACATGTTATACAGTCTCATTCAAAACAGAAAACATAACTGGAGGATAACTCTATTCTTTCTTTACTCTGACTTCGAGAACAACAAAGTCTTATTTGATATTGTCTTGAGTCTGATATTGCTCAACAAATGTATAATTTGATATTGAAGAATGATAAAGTTGGAAAGAAAGAGGCATATGATGATTCCGGGTTTTCTCTGTTGTGCCTTTAATGTTTTTTGGTCTTTAATTGCAGCATGCTTAAATTTGAGTCATCCCATGTTGTGTGAAGGCCATGTTGTGTGAAGGCCACAAATAATGTGTTTCTAGTGGGTTCATTTTGCTAGGAAGAACTAGAAAGCTGGGAAAGAAAATTCTTACTGAAATCATCTCATAAGGGGCAATGTAACTCTAGCAAGACATGAGCATGAACACACAAGTCTACAATCCACAATGTTAGTCTACAAAAATACTTAGCCCATGATGGAGATACACGATACTCTCACTACAACACGGCTACTTTACCTAACTACATATAACTACACCCGAAATTGGTTAACGAATTAGTTGTTTTGGCACAAGGGCACTTGGTCAACATGTTTTACTTTGGCTGCATGGCAATGCATACTACAGTTAGTGATAAGTCAGCTATGACATATCAATATTACAGTAACCTTGGGTACATTGCAATCTCATATATCAAGGAGAGGAATGCACGAAACTAAGCTTTGTCATTGGTATGCACCAACTGCAGGCCTAAGGAATCTTATTTCCAATGACATTCCCTCTTCAGGAACACATTGCTTCTGATATTATCTTTTAAATTACTAAAATGACCTTAGCATGCTGCAACTAAAGGCCTGGAAACATTTTTTTTCAAATAAAAACCCCCTACAGCAATATCTTTTGCTGATAGGACATTTTTAAAGGCATCAAATATTCACATATACTGTATATGTATAATAAAATCATTTAATCTTGTTTTGTATCTGTCTTTATTTGGGCCTAACTGATAAAGTTTTGTTGTTATCAATGTTATGTTTAGCCATCAGACGACCTTGTGTGTGGGAAGATTGCAGGAGTTGACTGTGTTGTACTATCAAGGTATATTTTTCCAAAATATTTTTATGTTCATCTATTTTGTATTTCATAAGGGATCCTTTTAAAGAGTCAGTCAGTCAAGTCAGTCAGATTTTCATTCTTTGTATGTTGCTTGCTTCACATTCCCCTCAGGCATTGGGTTTGATAAAAACTGATCTATCGCAGGCTGAGAAAACCTTGGTTCAATCTATCATTTCTATTTCCCCAGATATATATTAATTTTTTGAAGTATATTAAGTTTTTTTATGTTGATCAAAATTGCTACAGCAGGCAACAACATTGGAGTAAAACATAATATTCTGGAATTTTTTACAGACTTTTAACTATGTAGCCTAAAAATTTAGCTAAAAGTGTGTTTTTTGGTTTACAACTAGGTTTTTGTCAATTTTCACTTACCCTGATTCAACATACCTCCGTTATTACTTAATCCGCCAGTCCCCACCTAGTCTAAGACACCCAGCATTCTTAGATTGTTTTCTTTTGTAGGCATAGCAAAAAGCATGGTGTTAGTCCATCAAACATAAACTACAGGGCAAATATTATGGCTTTGAAGAATGAGGGTTGTACACACATCATTGCTACAACTGCAGTTGGGTCATTGAAAGAGGAAGTGAAAATGGGAGATATCGTTTTTGTTGATCAAGTCTTTGACAGATGCTTCAAGAGAGAAACAACATTTTATGATGGAAAGCCTGGAAGTCTTGAAGGTGTTGTCCATATTCCAATGCATGAACCACTTTGTACAGACACAAGACAGGTAAGGGTTTGCTTAAAAAAATCCATTTTGATCTAGCCAAGAGACTATAAATCATCCTTTGGTAACATTTTTGGCTCATTTTGTGGGCCTCCTGACCAGGGTATTTGCCAAAAAATTGATACATATTGCTTATTTGAACGAAATTCTGGTCCTTTTGGTCTTATTCTTGAAACTATTGACATGTGTGATGTGACATAGTTTATGAAATGCTAATTTAGGTTTGATTATAAATAACCACTTTTTCGCAAGATTTAAAGCTGAATAAAGCATATGGGGTGCTCTCTCCTTTATTAGTTTATCCATCAAGAGAGCTCCTCCTTAAAAAATTCTCCTCCATATAATTTTCTATCAATTTTCTATAATTATTTATAGAAATTTACTGTTTTTTATCTTTTGTAATCTTGGAATATAAGTTGTTAATTGTTGTTTTTAAATGATTGTTGCATGTAGTGGAATTTCAAAATTAAATGAAACTGAATATGTAATTAATCATTGACAAAATGCATACTACCTTTTTAAGTTCAAACTTCATCTTCTATCATAGAAAAATTCCAATTTAAGAAAACCATCACTGATTTTCAAAATGATAACCTACTTTGTAAGAAACAGATATAGGCCGTAAGCTGTGACCAAAAAAGGTGCTCCAAAATCAATTTTCGTTGCCCGCATCCGGGCACAACTTCACGACTGTTTTTTCTTGTTTATAATGTGTTACTTAATATAAAATCAGTTGTTGTCACTCTGACAAACATGCATCTCGTGAGATACGGGGGTCAATAATTTCTAGGTTTTATGACGTCATCGATACAGTCAAATTATTTAAAAAACATTTCTTGACACAGAAACTGCCCTCACCAGCTAGATCACTTTAAGTTAGTATACAAACGTGCAACTTAGAGCGTTGTCAAACGCTTCGTGTCTGAGAAGATGCCTTTTAACGGTTGATGACGTCATCACAACATCATCGTGTATTATGGTCAAAACCATCTGTTTTTGTAGTTAACACCGTAGTTAGCAGCATGAACGAGCTTACAGTTGGCAAATGCGAGTAAGCTTGTTCATACTGTACGGGTTATTCTCGTACAGTGCTGAGGAGAGGGGGGTCAGGGGGGTCACTGACCCGGGGGCCCATAAATAATAACTCAATTGAACAAAATTTCTAAGTTATAATCCATCCTCCTCATCAACATTAACAAAACATAATATTAGAGACAATAATGACAAAGGTCCATGAAGTCGTGAAGAAATTTTTGTTAAGAATTTCTCATCTTTGTTGGCTAGTTCAAAAGCTTCTGAATGTTACGAAATGTGATTGCAGGGTAACATACAGGGCAATATGTATGTCATACAGATTTACACTATGGCGTTCGCATATCCCTAAATCTTGTGCCGATAACCCACTTGTTTTTTATTCTCAGTTATTTAAACGTATCATCTTGTACCTGTTATTTTCTATTTCTTTCTAATTCACAGGAGGGGTGAGAACCATGGATTTTCCGACAAAAATCTAACAAGCTTCTATATCTTTCACATAAATTTCAACATAGCATAACGACATCAGAACTGAAAAAAGATCATTTGATATATTGAATATTCTTATGTTTATTTAGATTCAAATTTTTTCCATCAAAACATAGCATTTAGATAAACATAGAATCATGTTAGATTTTTGAAAAGAGCAGAGGTTTTCCGACAATATAGTAGTATAGTAGTGTTTTTGCTCTCTCTGGCCCCCTCTATCTACACCATTGCCACCGGCGCAGTTCAGCCACCATGACAATTTTAGCAACCATAACAGCCACCCTAGCAGTTTAAGCAACCATAATTTTCAGAAATTTCTGGGGAGCATTCCCCATACCTCCTAGAAGCGTCTGCCTTAGGCATGCCTTATAATTTAATTTTTGTCCTGACCCGGGGCCCATAAATTATCTCTGCGGCCCTGTAATCTCGTATACAGGTTTTGAATAGTTAATGACGTCGTCCCTTTATGATTTTTGTACTTTACTTTCTTAAATCAGGTTGAAATCAATAATTTTATGAAAAACATTTCAGCTATTTAAGCTTTATAAACGCGTTAAGAATAAAACAGTGGTGGCACCAGCTGTAGCAGAGTGGGAGGGTAATGGGCCTGACCCAGGTGTCTACGCCTTTACTGTCTCATTTTAATTGTTTTTTATGCCAGATGCATTTTCATAGACAAATTTTGAAAAATATGACCTGCCCCTACCCAGTGCATTTTTCATCAATTTTAGGAGAATATCTGGACAATGTTTTGCAAGAGGGGATGGGGGGGATAACCGTCCATACTACCCCTTGGTGCCGCTACTGGAAAGCAAGAATGTAAAGAATGTATCAAAAAACGATCCATTTGTTTAGCCGACCGCCATGTTTATTTTAAAGCAATTGGTACTTAGGTATTACCCGGACTGTGAGATAGGGCCGAGAATAATTAAGCAGCATCGGCTTTCGGCATTCCATGTTATACACCTTAAGCGCGGGAATAGTGAAGTTTGAAGCTGAATTCCAAGAGAATTGCAGGTTTTTACAGTTGACAACAAAAAGATTCGTAATCAGCACGAAAAAACACACAGGAAAATGCTTATTAAACGTAGTGCCGGAATGAGGGCAGCGAGACCAAATAAAAATCTGACACAGCTCACGGCCTAATACTCTTAAAATGAAGTCATTACCAAGATGACATCATTGGGGACTGACACAATAGTGAAGCCTACTAATACTGATAAAGAGGCTGTAAAAGTTCTTGTGCTTTTCAAGTGCGTGTATGTAAAGTGATTTGAATGTTAAGAGCAATAAAATTATTGGTTTAAATCATTGATTGTTAGTTTGATGTTTAATATTTGAAAGACACAACTGATTATTCAATGACAAAAAATGACAAAGTTGGCTAATTTGTCTTTCTATGTTTGTGCTTAAATAACCTTTCTATTTCCATATCAAAACTTTATTTCCTTTACTGTTTGTTTAGATTTTGATAGAAAGTGCAAAGGAACTGAACCTTCCATTTCATCCCAGTGGCACAGCCATTACTATTGAAGGCCCAAGGTTTTCAACTAAGCCCGAGAGTAAATTCTACCAGAGTCTTGATGCCAGTGTAATTGGAATGACATTGTGTCCTGAGGTCTTTCTTGCAAAAGAGGCTGCCATTAGCTATGCTTCAATAGCACTGATTACGGATTACGATACATGGAAAGAGGATGCAGAGGTATGTGCTAATGATATGTTGCTTGTACAGCCAATTTGCTTTGTTTGCTAATATGTTTTAATTTCCCTTCAAACACTCATTTATGGCTTCTATAGATTCTTCATTGTTCAGGGATAACTTCAGAATGTTGAGTACTGCTTTGATTGGCTGGCTCTTTATAAGGCAGTGCTGCAATACCACGCTTATTTTGCAGTGCACCCCACCCCTATTCTACATGGAAACGCCCACCCGTGTACTCAGGTATTGATTAATGCCCAAATCTCTTTTTTTTACAACTGTCAACAATTGCCTCTTATTCTAATTTGTTTCTGATCTACTGCATATCATCTATGGTATGGTACTTGCAAAGTTTTGTATTATTTTATTAAAGGCATTTGACATGCATAAGCACAGCGAATCCAAAAATAACTCGATCAGGGCACGAGCGTTTGCAAGGAATTTGAAACTACTCACGTGAAACCACTCAAGGGTTTCGCCGATTTACAGAAAGGCGGAAGCTGTTCACATGTTTTTCTCTATGCGCAATTTCATTGGTTAACCGCTGGGGGTCGAGTGGCTGTAAGCCACTTTAACTTGTGTCGAGTGCCTTTAAGTGGAAAGCTAATTTCCCTGTTGATGTCTAGTAGCAATTATTTTTTCAATTAATTTCTTGTTTTTTCAAACTTCAGAGCTGGTATAAATTGCCTTGTTTTGTTTTACCTAATCAGGTCGATGTCCCAACTGTTATGAAAACAATGAAGGAAAATAGCATCAAGGCGAAGAATTTGATCCTAAGCGTTATTCCAAAAATTGCTGCAAAGGATTGGTCCAGTGTGATGAAGAAGAATCAGGCAAGTGTTATGGCTCTTTAAATTAGTGAAATTATGATGAATGTAATCGATGACATTGTTTTGGTTGGTAAGTTGTGGTTCATCCAACAGGGTACCCATGGGGCTTTGCAGGTATGGCAGTTGGGCAGTGAGTCATGGAGAAGGTTACCGTCTCGTGATGCACAAATACTCTGGTTATTAAATTTTGTTTGTGGGAGCAATATTAGCACAACAAAGCTTATCAACAGCTTTTTAAGTAGCGAATTTCATAACTTGCAAATTTGTAGAGTTTTGCAAGCAAAGCCAATCGAAAGGCTTTTTGTGTCGCTGATGATGTAAATTCATATCGCGTTCTCTATTTGTTTTGACATGGAACTGTTGACATCTGTCCATCCAAAGCCAGTGCTTCTATGTACAGTATCAAATCCAACGATTGCCATGTTCCTAAACGCTGCTTATTTACTAGTTATATTCTACCATATTCCTATGTATATGGATTCATACATTTTCATTCAACCAAGCGAAGGGGCTTAACTCTTTCCATAGTTACTAGTCTTCAAACATTTAAGTCCTTAAAAGGATAGGATAACAAAGTGCTCATGAATTCTAGAAAACATCTACGAAGATTAAGGCAGTCGTTGTTTTCAAACTGATTTATTACTTTTGGATAACATTTTGGGGTTTTCTACTTAGATTGGGAAATTGTTTTGAATAATCGTATATCAAAGTTAAGTTAAATTTATTTTTTTACGGTTGATTTACAAAATTCATAATTTTGTTTCCAGGAAGTGGTTCAAAACGCCACCATGTGAGCTAAAAGATTTGGAATTGCAATTGGTACAAAATTTTATCATATATTTGCATGCAGTATTTAGAAAATGCTATAAAATTAAGCATGCGAGCAACTGAATATTTTTTTGGCCTTTGATTAGAAATTGTTAGTCGTTTTTTAGATTTCCAAAAGCCCATGTAAGGGTTTGGCACAGCCATTTTGTGGATTCGATAATTCGTTTAGAATTCTGTATTTCCCGCTATAGATCAGTATAATCTATTTTTGTAGCAATTTTAATTGTTTTAGTTGAAGATCAGATGGGATAATGGCCATTGATTATATGAGAGACGTCATGTTTACACCAAAGCCTTATGTCACATTGTTTAAATCGCACCAATGTTTTCTTGAATGTGCCTCAAGAGTGACAAATCGATTCAAAACGCCTTGAGTATATTTACATGCGCTCAAGAAATCAGAAAACTATACACGATAACAATTACAATTGTATTTTACAGTTACATTAAATCCTAGGCACGTTTACACATGTTATTCGTATGTTACACAACTTCAACCAGCTGGAAAGAAGCAACCAGCAAAATAAAGATAATTTTAAAAAAATTAGTATGAGACAAATCATTCTTCAACAACGTGCTGCAACGGCTTCATCGCTGTAATTGTCCTCACTTCGGCTCTCACGTCCTTCACTTTCGCTCGCACTGTGCTAAGCCGACGTTGCCTAGGCCTATCAGAGCTCACTGACATCCGTCGCGTTTGATCTCTACCAACCTTTTTTCTTTCAACGATGGAATCGATTTTCGGAATTGCTGGTGGAATTGGAACTTGGTTTATACTGTACTGTTCAAATATTTTAATTAGTTGTTCTTTCTGACCACGACTTTGTGGCCTAATTTTCCCCGATGTTGATACCCTTTCGAAATACTCAGATCTGCCAGCCATCGAAAGCGTCTCTGTACGAAATGAGTAGCCTGTTTGCGGCCTTACTATTGTGTCGTAGTCCCCAATGACGTCATCTTGGTAATCGGACGCGCTGTCGTCGATATTCTCCTTCCCAGTAGCTCTTTTGGTTGATTTGCTAATTCTACTTAGCAAGCTCCGCTCTGAGAATCTCTTTGAAGGAGGTGGGATATGGCGGTTGCTGGAATCTTTTCTGAAGCAGAGAGCATCGAAGTTCATTGTTGCTGTATGCGGTCTATGTTTCACTGCATCTCCTCTTATAAAATTGCTTGATGATCTCCCACGTTTTTGTTGGTCAACAAGAGGTGGCATCGATTTAGGCCGTCGCAGCAAGGACTTTTTGGAGCTTGTTTCTGTAGCTCCTAAAGTTTCACGACAAAATCGTTTGCTATAATGTGACTCAAGCCACTGCTCGCCGTTCCAGTAGTTCTGCATGTCGAATATCCTCGCAGATGCACCGTTCTCTTGAAGAAGCCTTGCGCATTCTACGTTACCGTTTTTTAACGCGAGAAGATACGCTGTAAACCCGCGCTTATTCACTACATCCAAGGAAAGCCCATAACCTGTAATAGGCTGTAGTATTTTCTGCAATACGTATACATCACCCTCAATAGCTGCATACATTAGACATGTGTTCCCATCCTTGTCCGTTTGATTTAGGTCGGAATCAGTGTACTCTAGTAATCTGTCCAATAAGAAGTCGTTTCTGGTGGCGCATGCGTACATTAGCACGGTCCTTCTGAACTTATCAACAACATCGACATCTGCACCGTGTTCAAGCAATTGCTGGCATACAATGTCACGCCGTTTCAGGTTCTTCATAAAGCAAGCTACCATGAGTGGGGTTCGCCCTTCTTCATCTTTTATGTTGACACGCATCCCTACGGCGAGGAATGCCCTTATTTGGTGCAACCGCTCATCGACAATGGCACAGTGAAGCCCCGGCATGACCAAGAGTACTGATATTTTCTCTATTACGAGCTTCGAGTTTCGCTAAAGGAATAGAGATAATCTTCGTCCTAAACTGGATCTTTTCACCTCGGTATCGCTATAAAAAAGTAACATTAATTGTTAAAATCAGAAGTGAGCTCATAGCTTACTTTACTACGCACTTTATAACAACACTAAACGAAAAACCTTCGAAAAACGTATTATTTTTACACTTGGTACTCATATTCCTAATGGTCTTAATAAAAAATTTACGTTGCTTTCCTAATCCAGCTACTATTAATTTTTACCCTATCTCATCTATACACTTTCCACCCCCTCACATGTTTTCATCTCGTCTTACTTTCTACGCGTATTCCTACTACGTTCCATATACGTTTCCTGTTATTTGTAGTTAGTCTTTTTTTCGATTCTACTCTTCTATTCTCTTCTTAACCGTTTCTCCTTCTATTCTTTTTACCTGATGAAGAGTTATGCTCGAAACGTCGTACTGAATGTTAATTTCTTTAACTAAGTCGTTATTTTATTGTATCAATTTTTGTTCAATTCCATGTTTGTCTAGATATAAGATTAAGAACTATGATATTGTGACGGTCTCCCGTGGCCTAGCATTGGTTGAATGCATTTTGTCTATGGTTGAGCTCTTTCCCCGTTTTACAATCAACTGGTTAGTATTAAATTTAGTAAAAGCATGTGTCAAAAACCTTGGTTCTCACAATTCTACTTTCATACTGACAACAATGCTTTTGTGTTTGATTCGTCTGCTAGGCACATGATGCTTCAGTAAATGGTTCAGATAAGTATAGTGTGGCTTTTTCGCACACATACAATACAATCCCAACCACTCATAAAATATCGTGTGTAACCACTACATCCTAAAACCTCGTATCACACTAAACCCCCTCAGCCTAATACAACCAAATCGCTTCCTAATAATCACAACAAACAATTTTTCATCAAGTAACTATTTAATTTATTTGCTTTATATATGATAAGTTTCTCCTGATCTCCTTCTTCTTTTATCTGTCTTCTTATTTTATCATCAGAAGCAGGACTTAATTTTCTGCTGCCATAGCAAAAGGTTGCAAAACTCTGGCCCGCGACCTTTGAGCTGTTTGATTATGTACGTTTGTGATGTAAAATGCAAAGTGAACATAAATAGAAAAGCTTGAAGGTTGCAATCAATGCTTGACATACGTATTAAATTGTTCCTGAAAACTGCATACTTTTTTTGTGAGTTTTCTTTCTTTTGTGTATCTTTGTTCCTCTCTTTGGTCAGCAAACTCTAAAATTCATCATCTCAAAGCCGATCCCTATACTGTGCCGATGTTATTTGTCTTCAAATGAAGTGAGTCTTCAGGTACGTTTACTTATTAATTTTGGTTTATCGAGTGGCCACTGTGACGTCAAATTTACGATTTTTCCAATTAACTCTCAGTATGTTAATCTCATCACAGTATTCGAGTTACCTTTATGTGACTTAGAATTCCAACAATGGATTATCTTTTGCTCTTTCCAGAAGACTTCTTCGTCATCTAGTCTAATACCAACCTGAAAGGTTTTTATTCAAGCCATTCCTTATATAAAACATCAGTTGCGAGTTTTCGTTATCCTTTGGTGATCCAGGAGTAAAACAACAATTTCACGCTAAATTTTACTGTTTCCCTTTCAAAGAGGAGCATTCAATAATAAACAGCTCAGCTAAAACGTCTTTTGCCAAGATTATTTCAAGAGCACCCTTGCAAATGCGGCCACCTTTGCTGCCCATCCAATATTTACTATTTGTTTGTTTCTAGGTTAATAGATTTCTTTTATCATGAGCTTTTCAAAAAAAGATTACTAATAAAGATTTCTGTATGCTTGACAGCCCCACATTGAAGTAAATTCATACTTCGCTATCCTTTCTTGAGTTTATTGAACTAAAACCTAGCTTCTGGCTTGAATAAATTTAAGAATTCCCCTGTCAAAGTCGGCAGTTTATTTACTGCTAAGGGTTGAGTCTGTTTTTGCCTCGGAAGCAACCGTGAAAATAAACGGACCTGAAGGAAACCATAATGGTAACTTGAAGAAATCACCAGTAACTATTTATTTTGATTTATTGATTTATCTATTTCATTTATCTATTTATTTTTATGTTTATATATTTATTTATTTATAAACGTATCTTTTTTATGCATTTACCTAGGTTATTACACCAACAGCGTTTTTATTTATTCATGTACTTTTAAATATAATTTTTAATACGTAAACCATTTTACCTAATCTATATAAAATATTTTAAATAAGCAAAATTGATTGTGATATTGGATAGTGGGAAGGAATGGTTTGATTGTGATATTGGATAATGGGAAGGAATGGGGGTACTTCATCCTTATTTTTGTTTCTTTACAGTAGGCCAAAAAATAAATCTATTTTATTTACAGCTGCTCAAGACCCACAATATACATTTTTTTAAATAACAATCTGACTAAAAACAGAACTATAAAATGGAAATTGCAATGTGCAAAATACAAATAGGTTAAGGTCTATCAAGAAACGTGCCTTTCAGAATATCCATTCGCCAGAGCCTACATTATCATTTTTTCCAACATTGAATCCGTTTTTTTAAAAAAAGGAGGAAACTTGATTGTTTTATTTATTTATTTTGGTAAAATCTGCCACAATTTTTTTCCAAGGTATAATATGGTTTCAGTTCTGAAGGACGTAGTTCTCACCTTTAGGAGCTTGGAGTCAGTGCCATGATTATAGCTAATATTTCGTTCTCTAAAAATATTAAGTTTTCTAGCGATCGTGTTATGGGAGAAGTTTTCTAGCGATCGTGTTATGGGGGAAGTTTTCTAGCGATCGTGTTATGGGAGAAGTTTTCTAGCGATCATGTTATGGGGGAAGTTTTCTAGCGATCGTGTTATGGGGGAAGTTTTCTAGCGATCGTGTTATGGGGGAAGTTTTCTAGCGATCGTGTTATGGGGGAAGTTTTCTAGCGATCGTGTTATGGGGGAAGTTTTCTAGCGATCGTGTTATGGGAGAAGTTTTCTAGCGATCGTGTTATGGGGGAAGTTTTCTAGCGATCGTGTTATGGGGGAAGTTTTCTAGCGATCGTGTTATGGGGGAAGTTTTCTAGCGATCGTGTTATGGGGGAAGTTTTCTAGCGATCGTGTTATGGGGGAAGTTTTCTAGCGATCGTGTTATGGGAGAAGTTTTCTAGCGATCGTGTTATGGGGGAAGTTCTCTAGCGATCGTGTTATGGGGGAAGTTTTCTAGCGATCGTGTTATGGGAGAAGTTTTCTAGCGATCGTGTTATGGGGGAAGTTCTCTAGCGATCGTGTTATGGGGGAAGTTTTCTAGCGATCGTGTTATGGGGGAAGTTTTCTAGCGATCGTGTTATGGGAGGAGTTTTCTAGCGATCGTGTTATGGGAGGAGTTTTCTGGCGATCGTGTTATGGGGGAAGTTTTCTAGCGATCGTGTTATGGGAGGAGTTTTCTAGCGATCGTGTTATGGGAGGAGTTTTC